CAGGGCCCAGGACAATGGTCCAGCATGACCCAATAGGGTCAGCCATCAGGCAGCATACCAGAGAAGCTAGTCTCGGAGGTCAGCATCCTGCTGCTTAGAAGTGGGCCATGAGGCCTTTTAGGGCCCACTTGCCTCTAACCTGCTCATTCTTGCTCCTCCTGTCTCTCTCCTATCCAGGCCAGAGCCATGGCCCTCCCACCCCTCCAACCACCCCAAAGACAGAGCTGCAGTCCAGCAAGGCAGACCCCAAAAGGGATGGGCGCTCCCTGGGGGAGGGCGGGAAGCCCCACATTGACTTCGGCAACGTGGACATCGGGGAGATCAGCCACGAGGTAATGTCCAACATGGAGACCTTTGATGTGACTGAGCTGGACCAGTACCTGCCACCCAATGGGCACCCAGGCCACGTGGGTAGCTACTCAGCAGCTGGCTACGGGCTGGGCAGTGCCCTGGCTGTGGCCAGTGGACACTCTGCCTGGATCTCCAAGCCACCAGGTGTGGCTCTGCCCACGGTCTCACCCCCTGGTGTGGATGCCAAAGCCCAGGTGAAGACAGAGACCACAGGCCCCCAGGGACCCCCACACTACACCGACCAGCCATCCACTTCCCAGATCGCCTACACCTCTCTCAGTCTGCCCCACTACGGCTCCGCCTTCCCCTCCATCTCACGCCCCCAGTTTGACTACTCTGACCATCAGCCCTCAGGACCCTACTATGGCCATGCAGGCCAGGCCTCTGGCCTCTACTCGGCCTTTTCCTACATGGGGCCCTCTCAGCGGCCCCTCTATACCGCCATCTCTGACCCCAGCCCCTCAGGGCCCCAGTCCCACAGTCCCACACACTGGGAGCAGCCAGTATATACGACTCTGTCCCGACCTTAGAGGGGGCCCTGTCACCACCAGTCCCTACCTGGCCCCAGGGCCCCTTCCCCCAGCCTGTGTACCCTGCTCCCCATCAGCCCCTGGCCTGGCAGTGTCAGTGGAGGAGGCTACAGGGGCTGACAGGAGCAAGGAGGCTTATGCCAGCTCCTGCCCTGATGACCTCCACCCACCCTGGCTCTGGAGGCCCAGCCCTGACTGAGCTGGCAGAGGAGGAGTTTGATGGCTGCCCCAGACTTACGATGAGGGGCCACCCACCCCTAGAAATGAGCCTGTATCCTAGCACCTAAGAAGTCCTGCTCACTCCTTCAGGGAGGTAGGAAGCATTAGGGTGGAGTGCCTCAGTCCTGTTTCCTCCTTAGAGAGTAAGGGGCTCAAATGTCGGTGTGCCATTCTGTCACAGTGCCTGAGAGCTAGCCTGCCCAGGGACCTGCCTCAAAGCCTGGAGCTGGCTCTGTCCTGTCACTAAGGACTAAGGACAGCTTTGAACAGCTTTGTGGGGAGTAAGATGGGATACTCAATGGAAGCTCCGATCCTTTCAATGCCCCCTCCTCACCTGAATGCAGGAAGGAACTAGCAGAGAGAAGTCCCCAGATCCAATTCTGTGTTGACAACCTCATCTTTTGTCTGAGGACTGTCCCCAGGCTCTTCCCCATCACCTCCCACACCTCAAGGCCCACCCCAAGTGAGGGGCAGGGCTTCCAGGAAAGGTCAGAGGCATCTTACCCAGCTTTCCTCTTGCCTCCTGACTGTCAGCCTCAAGTCCCCAGGCTCAGAGTTAGTACTGCACGGGCCCTAGTCCCAGAGCCCAGCACCCAGGCTGCTGGCAGCAGGCTGGACACTTAATCCCTGCCATGTACATTCCACCCTTGCCCTGTGCCCTTCGCTCCAGCGACCGATACCTTAATAAAGTACATAGCTGTCTCCCCATCTCCTGTTCTCAGCCCAGTCCACATGTAACACATCAGTGCCCCTTATTTATCTCCGTAGCCGCCATGTTCCTGCCCCTTCTCTAGTTACTCCAGTCCCCATTAACTTTCATTAAGCACTCCAAGTAATAAAATCAAAACTTCTGGTCACCTGCTTGGTGGCCTGACCTGGCCTGTCTCTTGGTCTCTTATCCCCATACCTGTGCTTCTTCAAAGGCTTTACGGAAGTGACCAGGAGAGCGCAAAGGTGAGCAATTCCTAGGATCTTTCTCCCCTAAGGACATGGGGATGGTGGTTCCATAGCATCTATGGATGGACCCTCTATGGCTGCACTTCTCTATTGCATAGAAACATATGTAACACACACACACACACACACACACACACACAGAGAGAGAGAGAGAGGGGGGGGGAGAGAGAGAGGAGCCCATGTCAGCATCTAGCCAAGCTATCACAGCAGCAGCCTGTTTGTGTCTAAGCCAAGAAACTCCATTCATTTGTGCTCCCCAAGAGTTTGTCCTCAGTAGGAGTCATGACCTAGGCCACTGCCAAGCCCACATCACCAAGGTCAGGGGAAATCTCTACCAAGTTGCTCTGACAGGAAATGCCAATGGCCACACATTCCCACAGTAGCAAAGTTCCTAGTGTTGGTTGCTGACTTTGCCAGGGTTGTACATCCTTCAAGCCTCCGAGGGTGTGGCCCCTGTTGCCTGATGTTTTGGGAAGCTGGTGCCCTAATGACAGACAGCATGTATCCTGAACCACTTGTCCCAAACCCCACATCATCCCTCCATCTCCATCAGTCCTTGAGAGGGTGGGTACCACTCCATCTAAACACTGTAGCCAGAAAGCTCTTCAGGCCACCTCCCCAAAGCTGCTGGTTCCCTTGGAGCTTGGTATATGAAACCTTTGCTCTTTTCAACAATATCTAATGCAGCATCAGACTACCCAACTACCTAGAAGCTGGTTGTTTTTTATTGGCCTTTAATAGATCTTTACCTGTTGAATTTGGCCCATTGCTCCTCCTCTATTAAATCTTGGGGCCTAGCTTTCCCTGAGTGAATCCAGGTCTATGCATCTATGTCTGTGAGTACCTTCACTGAAGTCACTAATAAAGGCTGGGATGAAAAGGTAGGGCTTGCATATGCCACCAGGCGCCGTCATCAGCTCTCTTCCTCACACATGGACTGTGTCCTTCACCCATTGCAGGTGTCAGGAGAGTCCAACTCCCCAGGGAAAACCAAGGGCACTGTGTGGCACTGGCCCAGGACAGCTGGACAGGTGCTTGGTCCCTAGACCGACCAGCCCAGAAATCATAGAAAAACTGTTTTTTTTTTTTTTCTTTTCTTTTCTCTTGACTTGGCAATACTGACTTTTAAGACCCCTCCCTGGTTTTCCTCTTATGATTAACAGCACCGTAAGACACCTTGCATGCTGACGCTCAGTTGCATGTGTCCACTCCAGTCTGAGTACTGCTCCTGCTCTGACGAGGAACTGCGGACAGAGCTGGCAAGATGGAGGGGCCCCATTAAGTGGGGGTGGGGGGACACCTCACAAGATTGACCATATAATCACTGCTAGTACAGTCAGGTGGGAAATGGTCATGGGAAAGACAAAATTGGAAGCCAGCATTAGCAGGCTGTTCGCATCCCTTGGAACAGGTTTGGATGTGCTCTGCCAGAGCAGAAGCTCCAGTCAGGTGTGTTCAAATGACTGAGATGACCTTAAACCTACTGAGAATAAAGAGTTTACACTGTTGGAAAGGGACAGTATATTCAGCAAGAGACAAACCCAGACCCAGCCAACTGAATGAGGGGCTCCCCAAGAACATCAGAGTGCAAAGGGGAGACAGGAGATGTGTCCTCTTCTCCATCCCCTTGCACCCTATCCCCTAAGGGTTAACACCCCTCCTACCCAGGCTCCATCTCCCTTTATAATCACATCTGATACTGAGCAGCCCAGCAGGGAACAAAGGCCCCATTTAGAGAAATGGGGCCGAGAAAGTGACCCTGCACTCTGGGGTGGCTGCCTGGACGCCAGCACAAAGGCGGCATTTCAGAGCTGAAATTTCAGCACCCAGCTTGATTAAAGGATTCCAAAACCTTGGAGGAGGGTGACAGGGGTGCGAAGTCTGTGACTCCCAGAATTAACCCTCACTCGGAACAGCAAGCACCCCTCCTACTCTTGTAGCCACTCATCCTTCCCACCCTGACCAGGGTGGCCGATCCCACATGGAATGCCATCCTCCTTGGGGTTGCAGTGGACCACAAGTTAGGCTGGACCACTCAGAAGCCAGTCTTCCTCCTAAGTGTGCCAGTGTCCATGGTTGCCTTCTTTTCTGAAAAACATTCTTAGACAAGGTCTCATGTAGCCCAGGCTAGCCTTGAACTTGCTGTGCAAGCTTCCTGCCTCCACCTCCACGGTTCTGGGATCATAGGCGTGCCCGCCATCTCTTGTATGAAAGGCTCTTCCTGCGGTGGGGAAGCAGGGTGCACAAGAGGGTCCATTGACAGAGAGGCAGGAGAGGAACTCCAGCACGGGCTGAACCCAAGAGCACACCATCCCAGCTCAGGTATGAGAAGCAGGGCACAGGTGGCAGGCCAGAGAGAGGGTCATGGAGGGCACTGTGTGGCACTGGCCCAGGACAGCTGGACAGGTGCTTGGTCCTTGCTCCAGTTGCAGACTTGCCCAACAGGGCTCTGCCTGGGGAAGTGGGGGATCACTGCACCCCCACACTTCCTGCTAGGGCACCGCTCCTGAAAGGGGATCTAAGTCCTTGATAAGAGCTCGAGGCAGGTCCCTAGGAACAATGGCTGGCTTGATGAGACCTGCTCTGTGATACTCCTGAGAAGGGAGAAGCCCCTGCAGCCAGTCCCCACTGGAAAGGAAATTGGAGGTTTCCATGGCAACCAGCTCCCTGGGCACAAAGACTCATCTGTCTGCTGAGAAGGCAGCTGAGGTGTCTCCCCTGCAGCAGCTTTTGCTCTGGTTCGTGGGGAGATAGACGGAGTGATGTGTGTGTGTGTGTGTGTGTGTGGGAGGGGGGCAGACCCATGGGGCCCAGGGCCCTAGTATTTCAGAAAGAGCTAACAGTTTAGTTACAGGGCCACCTCCCTGTGGGCCCACTCTCTGCAGCAGGACAGGAACAAGGAAGAAGCAGGTGGCAACTTTGCAGATAGCAGGCACAGTGGGGTGGGAAGGTGAAATTTATTATTTACATATATAAAATGGGCGTAGAAGTGGTGTCCAGCACAGTCGGCAGCTCTGCTCAGTCGGTGATGATGAGCTCATCCACTCCCCAATCTTCATAGCTCCCATCTGGCAGGTAACGGCGAATGATGATTGGGATCTTCCGGGCCCTGTTGTGGGGAGACGCCACAGGACATGAGGGCTGGTGCCCTGGCTCTGAGCAGAGGACAGGTGGTAGAAGTGCACGTCACATAGATGCCCTCCTCCCACTCCTGGGGCCCGACTGTGAAATGAGCCAGAGATCAACAGGATGGGGCTGACAGCTGCATGCCGGGCTCTGGAGGAAAGGGCCACTGTCGGAGGCACTTACTTGAGTTCCTTCATGGCGATGAGCAAAGGGTCTGTCTCCCCCTCCAGCTCTACCATCACAGGGGCACACATCCTGCAGGAACAGACATGGGTTGGAGAGACAGGAGATAAGGCTCAGAGAAGGTGACTATGGTGTCCTGATCCTCGTTTAGCAAGGTCACCTAGGCAGGTCCAACCCCACAAGCCCTTCACAGCAACACCCCCAGAAGGGCCCCACTCTTCCAGCCTGGACCTGTCCAGCCTCCATTCAAGCACCTGTAACAAACAAACTTCTATGCCTTCCTCCTCCACTGTGTTATGGTTCTTAAGTGACCCTATGTTAAGTTAGCATGGCAACAGTACTGGAGGAGGGGTCTTTGGAAGGTCATGAGGGTGGGACCACTGTGAGCATTCAAGTGGCTTTATAAGGAAGAAAGAGAAATCCATGCCAGCGGGGTTTCTTGTTCTCACACGGCACTCTGCCATGTTATGTTGCAGCTTGAGGCCTCATCAGGTGCAAGCACCATGTTCTTAGACCCTCCAACCACTAGAACTGTGAGCCAAACGTACTGAGCTAGGAACTTGCCTCAAGTACTCTGTCACAGTCACTGCAAACAAGCTCGGGCACCTGCACATTCCACATCATTCCTCCTCTGAGTCCCTCTCTCCAGAAGCCTGAGATTCAGTGTCCCCACTCTGGAAATGACAGTTTTCAGTGTCTGTTACTTTACATATGCCTTTTGTGGCATCAAAGTCACTAGACTACTGTAGACCATGAGCTTCCAGTGGCCCAGGACCACACGTGGCCACTGTGAGGGCCTAGACCCCACCTGATGGTTGGTCCACGCAGAGGGCCCAACACCAAACAGGAAGATGTCAACTCCAGGCATGTCTCCTAAGAAAGACATCTCTGATCATTCTGGATGGCTTATACCAATAAACTCAGGGCTACTAAGGAATACACCAAATCCAGGGCCCACGCCTTCTCCAGACCATCAGGACTGGTTTGATTTGTTTGTTTCTCTGTGTAGCCCTGGCTGTCCTGAAGCTCGCTCTGTAGACCAAGGTGGTCTCAAACCCACAGACACCCACCTGCCTCTGCCTACTAAGTGCTGGGATCAAAGGCGTGTGCTACCACCCAGCTTCCTTAAAAGTTCTTAATTATTTTACTTTATGTGTACGGGTATTTGACCTACACGTGGGTCTATGCCTCTGAAGGACACTGAACACCCTGAAACTGGAGGGACAGTCATCACTTGGGCAGCAGTAATCAAACCTATGTTTTCTGCAAGAGCAGCAAGTGCTCTTAACAGCACTGGAGCAGAATTTCTACTGAAGGGTTCTGAGGACTATACTTTCAGACTTTGGAGACCAACCAGTTTGAGAGCTACACTATTTATTTTGATCTTTGCTATTCTCAAAAGCCTGAATTTTCCCATGGGCAGAAACCAAGTATCTTTCCCGAATAACAAAATGTCCCCAAAACATGGGGTGTAGGTCGGCAATAAAACAGGTAAGGCCCTGGGTCTAGTCCCTAACCCTAACACCAAGAAAACAAAAGAAATGCATCTCTATATAAAGCCTTACAGACCATGCATGGCCGCCCTGGCCTTCCTGGGCCTAGTCTCTCCAGACGGAACAGGATAACTAGAAGGCATTCACTCATCAGTGCCCTAGGGACATGCAAGTGCAAGTGTGGGCTTCAAGTAACTCTTGGGCTGACCAATAAAACATATCACCATCCAATTAGCAAGTAATGAACAACATCAGCCACCGGGTGGTGCTAGCGGGCCAGACCAAACTTAACCAAAAGCTATCCAAGCATTTCAGCACCTAAGCAAAGACAGAATCCAGCCTGGCTATCTGTGAATCACAGGCAGGGAGGGCACCACCAGAGGGCATGGGATCCCTCAGGGGAAGGAGCACTAAAGCCTAGACTATGCTGGAGTCCTCCTCCCAAAGAAAAATGACAGTTGTAGTCTTGGATTGAGGGTAGTCTGGGCACTTCACACCCCATGAATGCTCCACACTGGCTTATCAAATGTCAGTTTGAATTTGTCCTTGTAGGATCTACTGACTTTTTTTTCTTTTTTCTTTCTTTTTCTTTTTGAGACATCTTTTACTAATTTTGTTTCTTAAAGTTTTTGTGTTTTTTTTAATTATTTGTATTTGTGTGTCTATGTTGGAGTATGTACAGGAGAGGAAATGCCTTTGGAGGATAAAAGTATCAGAGCACCCTGGAGCTAAAGTGATAGGTAGCTATGACTCAGTTCCTCTACAAGAACAGTATGTGCTCTTAACTTCTCTCCAGCCTTTTTGTTTTGTTTTTTCTTTCTTTTTTCTTTTTTCTTTTTTTTTTTTTTCAAAACAGGGTTTCTCTGTATTGCTTTGGAGCCTGTCCTGGAACTCACTCTGTAGACCAGGCTGACCCCAAACAAGCACTGGGATTAAAGGCATGCGCCACCAATGCCCAGCTCTCTATGTTATTAATATTCTGTATGAAGAGTTGAGTTTTTATTTTTACTTATATGCTTTTGTGTTTACGTAGCAAAGCCTCAGGTGCATAGATGTCTATGGAGGCCAGAAGAGGGTACTGAGTCCCCAGAAGAGCATCAAGAACTCTTAACCTTTGAACCGCGTCCTCAGACTGCATTGTGTGTTCAGATCTCTGCGTGTGTGATCATACGCATGCCACAGCAAAAAGGAACCAGATCAGTTCTTTCCTTCTACTCTGTGTGCTCCTGTAAATCAGGTAGTTAGGCTTGGTGGCAGGCATCTGTACTGGCAAGCCATCTTGCTGGCCCTTTAGTGATATCTTGGCCATCAGTGTGCTGCAAGCTTGCCCCCTTAAGCTGCACTCACCCACACTATTTTTTAGCGCTGGGGATACATGCAAAACCACCACCCTTCATCTGGGGATTCTAGCCCCTCCATGAGGCTGCCCTGCTTTTCTGTACCCTTTGGAAAGCACTATCCCCACCTGCCTTGAATTCAGGCTATCTGTGCTCCAGCCCAGCCCTCTCACCAGAAGGTACCTGGGAGCTGGGGATGACATCTTTAATCACCTCTGCATCCTCAACAGTGCAGCAGTGAGCACTGCTGGATTTTCATAGGCTATGAAGGCTCCTGCCACTGGACCTTAGCTACTTAGCTAAGCTTAGCCACTTAGCCAAATGGACATGGCTCTGATAACACTCCGCAAATTGGAAATGTCCGTGCCTGTGCTGATCCCTGTGCTGTGCACCACAGAGATGCTCCTGACCCCTGAGATAGGTCTGTATTTAGGGGGAGGGGTTGTTTTGTTTTCATTAGTTTGGGAAGAACTGTGGTGGTGGTGGTGGTTTGGGGAGTTTTGTTATTGTTTTGGAAATTGGATCTCACTGTGTGACCCTGGCTGTCCTGGAACTCACTCTGTAGACCAGGCTGGCCTCAAAGTTACAGAGATCCACCTGCCTCTGCCTCCTAACTGCTGGGATTAAAGGAGTGTGCTACCTCACAGAGCCAATTTTTTAATTAATTAATTTAAATGGTCACATGGAGCTAGTGAGTGTCACAGCAGACAGAACAGGCCAGCAGGACTGTACCCCCTGAAGGTGGCTCCAGCTTTACTCCAAAGTGCAACCATGATAAAGAAAAGTCTATTGCTGAGGAATGGCCCTCACATAAAACTCTTTATGAAAGAAGACACTGAAGTCATCTTTACCCAGGGCTGTGTGAACCTGTGGGAGGGGATGCAGACAGCACTATGCCTCCCCAACATGCAGGCCTCCACATACCCTGTGGTTGGATGCCCAGTCTACTGTTTTTCTTTTTCTAGTCTCCCTAGTCCCTCCTGCAGCATCCACTGTTTCCCACACCAGCCAAGTCTAGCAGTTTCTCTCAGACTTAGGTCTCCTACTAGAGTTTCTTCTAGATTACCACTGGGTGGCCTGGGCCTGCCTACTGTCCCCACAAGCCACCACTGCTCTCAGGTTTTCCCAAGTGAAAGGCCCTCCCTACTTCACTGGGTTAGCCAGTCTCCCCTACATCAAGAAGTAGCATAAGCCTGAAGGGGCTGCTGGAGCCTTCCCGAATTCACCATCATTCCATTTCACCAAACTGACAGGAGTTATCTGAACGCAGGTCCTCACACATGCTAGACAGACACTACTACTAGCTACATCCCAGACCTCTTCTTCACTTTATACCTTGAGGCAGGGTCTTACTAGTTGCCCAGAGTAACCTTGAACTCAACACATGGCCCAGGTAGGCTTGAACCCACGATCCTCCTGTTTCCGTCTCCTGAGTGTCCGTGCCACCAGGCCTGACTAGGGTTTTTGTTGTCACTTTTTTCCCGTGCAGTTATTTGGCTCCTCAGTTACTTTTCATGGCCTATTTTTTAATTATACCACAGGTTCCCTAAGCCCAACACAATGCCTGGCACACAGGGACAGGGCATGATCAGCAGCCTGGGGCTCACTGTGGCCCAGCTGAGGGAGAGGACAGCAAAGAGGCAACACTTACGCGATCTGGAGTGCCCGGGTGCCCAATACACGGGCTCGCTCATACTTGGTCATGTAAGGAGTGGTGATGCGCTTCTGGTTGGCCTGTGGTCGCTCACCAGAGGGGAGGATCTCAACATTCTCCTGACCCTCCTGGATACCAAGAAAACAATGACAGGAAATCTCAGGGCAAGTTCTGAGTCAGGGAGGAAGATGATGACAATGATACTTACCACCATCAATGCTTTCTGGATGCCAAGGACTATAGAAAGACTTACTAAGAACCCATTCCTTACCAGTGAGGCAGGGATCATGGTCCCTATTCCAAGGGCTTCAAAACCCAGCCAACATAACCAAAGTCTCCAAGAGGACTGTGGTAACACACACACACACACACACACACACACACACACACACACCTGGCCAGACGCTGCTGCCCACAGATACTGAGGCACAGAGCAAAGAGGTTGTAATAGCAGTCAGAGAAAACAGGCACAAGGCAACAGCTGCTACCAGGAACGTGCACAGCCTTTGACTGTGTTTACAGGGCTCTGAAACCAAGAACGAAAGGCCTAAATTTGGTTCCTCAGTCTCCATGTGAGAGTCTGGATAGATAACAGTGTGTGTGACAGGTAGCGACAGGAAGATTTCTGGGGCTTGCTGACTGACAGCCTAGCCGAAGCAGTGAACCCAAGTTCAGAGAACGATAGAGACTGACACCTGACAGCAACCTCTGCCTCTGCATCGGAGCCACACAGCCGAGTACACTGCATACAGACACACATGTGCATAAGCACAAAATTTTCTCTTTGTGAGACAGGGTTTCTCTGTGTAGCCCTGGCTGTCCTGGAACTCACTCTGTAGACCAGGCTGGCCTTGAACTCACAGAGATCTGCCTGTCCCTGCCTCCTGCGTGTTAGGATTAAAGGTGTGTGCCACCGTCACCTGGAACAAAAAAAAAATTTTTTTTTAAATAAAAAGTGTTTGCTAAGTACTTACTACAGGTCCAATGTTTAGGATAGAGTAGTGAATAAAAGAGATCAAAGCTATTTTTACCAGGACCCATGCCTTTAATCCCTGCACTCAGGTGGCAAAGGAAGGCTGATTTCTGTGAGCTAAAAGCCAGCCTGTTTTACATACTGAGTTTCAGGGCTACACAGTAAGAACAAGTCTTGAAAGAAAGAAAGAAAGAAAGAGAGAGAGAGAGAGAGAGAGAGAGAGAGAGGGGGGGGAAGGAAGAAAGAAAGAATGAAAGGAAGAAAGAAAGAAAAGAAGAATACATAACAAGACTCAACAAGCCAGGTGGTGGTGGCACACACCTTTAGCCCCAGTGCTTGGGAGCCAGAGGCAGTCTGATCTCTGTGAGTTCTAGACACAAGAGCTAGTTCCAGGACAGGCTCCAAAGCTACTAAGAGAAACCCTGTTTCAGAAAAAAAGAAAAGTAAGATGCAACAATCCTAAGATCTAGCTGAGGCGACACTTTGGCCAAGGCAAAGTGTGTCTGTGGGAGACACATTCCTGGAAAGGGCGATGGTGAAACCGTTTGGCAATCACCACCATCTCACTGTCTAGAGCCCAGGCTGCAGGGCAGCAAGCTGAGGCTGGCTACTGACCTCCTCGGCATTTTCCAAGTCATCCAGTCCTTCGTCCTCTTCCACATCATCAAAGTCATCGCCATCGAAACTAAGCCAGAAGAAATTGGGGTTACAATCACCTGCCAGAATCAGGGTACAGCTTGGGGTCTCTGCTGTGATGTAGGAGGGACCAGCAAATCTCAATGAGGGATTCAAACTCCGGCTTCACTTTATGCTTCAATCTTATCCCATCTGCTCCTAAATTTTGCAAGGACTTGTTCACTGCTGTTTCCCTCTCTGTAGATTACTTCAGTCAGTCCTTTTCTGGTCTTGGGTTTATTTTTAAGGTTTATTTTATATGTTTGTGTGTGTGAATGTACGCACAAGCACACAGATGCCTGTGGAAGCCAGAAAGAAGGTGTTCAACATGGTGACTGGCACTGAACTCTCACTCCCTGGAAAAGCAGCAAGTGCCGGTAATTACTAAACCATCTCTCCAGTCACCAACACAGTTTTAGCCCTTACAGTAAGGGGAAAGCTATACATTTGTGAGTGTGATGGCACACTCCTGTACTCCTAGCATTTGGATAGTGGGAGTGGGAGACTCAGGAGTTTAAGCCTAGCCTGGGCTACATAGTCAGACTGTCTCAAGAACAAACAAAATTTACTTCAGGGCTGGAGATGTAGTTCAAAAGTATTGTATATATAACATGCATGAAATCCCTGGGCATTAATTCCCAGCAGCAAAGCATCACCACCATCACCCTACCCACCCTGGAAAAAAAAAAACCACATTATTCTCTTTCCTCTTGCTACAGCCCAACTCCATGTTCCCTTACAATGGGGATAAAAAATTAAGGCACGTGTGACACTGCCATCCTCAAGGCCTCCAACTACCAGGCTTCTAAAATTATTTTTATTTATGATTAATGTATGCATGGTATGTGTTTGTATGCAGGACATCCTTTCCCTTCTAGCATGGGTTCCAGGGATCAAACCTGGGTTGTCAGGCTTGTACAGCAAGTAACCTTCTCCCACAGATCAATCTCATCAGCCTTCTATGATATAAAATCTGTGAAGGAGCTGTCCAAATTCACTGTCTGCAATTCTTCTCTTTCCTTAGTCACAATCTCACCTCAGTAAGACTTCCACCACACTCCAAACTATTCATGTATTACCTTTTTTTTGGGGGGGGGGGGTTGAGAGACAGTTACTCTGTGTAGTCTTAGCTGTTCTGGAACTCGCACTGTAGACCAGACTGACCTCGAACTCACAGAGATCCTCCTGCCTCTGCCTGCACCACTTCCCTAATGATCTTTTCATTGTTAACTCTTTCCACCCTCATTCACCTTCCTCTAACAGCTAGCACACCTGGCTCCTCCCTGCCACTTTACACTTGGAGCATGGGGCTGCCCCTCAGTCTTTTCAGGGTCCTTCTCCCCAATCACTCACTACCCTGGACAACACTCCCATCTCTGCTTTCATTGTGTTTCTGCCTGGGTTTTGTTTCTTTGCTTGGCTTTGAGACAGAGTCTCACTCTGTACTCTATGTAACTCAGGCTGGCCTGAAACTCAGTAAGCACAGACTGACAGCTAGTTCATGGCAATCCCCGTGCCTTAGCTTCCCCAAAGCTAGGATCACAGGTGTGAGCCCACCACACACAGCTTCTGAGTTTTAACTGCCCTATCTATCCTATCTGAGAATTCACACAGTTTATCTTCTCTTTTGACCTAACACATGCAGCCTATCAGGAAAATCAATCCTGTTGGCTCTATCTTTAAAATATATCAGGAGCCAGGCATAATCCCAGTGCTATAAGGAGGCAAAGGCAAGAGGATCTCTGTGAGTTTGAGAACAGCATAGTCTACACAGTGACTTCCAGTACAGCTAGGGCTATGTACAGAGCTTCTGTCTCAAAATAAATTGATAAAATATATCCAGGAGCTGGCCATGGTGGCATACACCTGTAAATCGCAGTGTTCCAGATGTGTATGTATGTGTATATGTGAATACCATCTCTCCCTCTCTCTCTGTCTGTCTGTCTCTCTCTCTCGTGTGTGTGTGTGTGTGTGTGTGTGTGTACACAAGGGGTCAGACATAGTAGATAGGTCTCTATAAATTTTTTTTTTTTTCCCTCCTTGATGCTCTTTAACAGTCCTGGCAGTCCTGCAACTGGATTTGTAGACCAAGCTAGCCTCGAACTCACTAAGGTCCACCTGCTTCTTCCTCCCAAGTGCTGGGATTAAAGGCGTGTGCCACCACTGTCCGGCTGTATCACTAAACTAGAACCTGGCATGCAGTGAAATTTTTTGTTTCCAAATAAATAAAATATATGTCCAAAATTCAGCTGGGTCTGGTGGGTCATAACACTAACACTTGGGAGGCTAAGCAAGGAGGGTTGTGGCGAATTTAAAGCTAATCTTAGCTACATAGTGAATTCCCGACCAGTCTGGTTTTCAGAGTGGGACCCTGCCTCAAGCAACACTAAACTGCATTCTCCATATTTCAGCCCGACTTCCGGCCACCTCTGCTACAAACCATCGCCTGCTTCCAGCCTTCCAGGCCACCCTCTGGATTGCTTCTTCCTTCCTATTTCTACGACTACGCGAACTACACCACCCGCATTCCCTTCCAGAAAGGAGGTGCCGCGGGGCAAAAGCTACACGGGGGCTTAACTTTGCATGCTGCCCCGCATTGCTCCCGGAGGTAGGAAGTTCTGAAGACTTCGCCCAACAGACCCGGTATCTGGGCTAGCCTGTGCTCCAAGAGCCCGGCTCGCACCACGACCTCCTCCCCTCTGAGCCCGCGCTCACTTGTCCTCGTTGTCTGACATGATGCCTTTGCCGCACTGGTTAGTCCGGAGTACAGAAAAGCGAAGCGCGCCTCAAGCTCACCCGGCACTACAAGTTGTCTGCGCCTGCGCCGTGACCCAAAGGCAATCACTTCCGGGAGACAGCCGAGGGTTAGTTGCAAATGCGCGTGCGTGGGGCGTGTGCGCTAGTTACCATAGCAACCAGACGCGTTTGGTGCAAGCTCTAACACTCTGGCTTCCCCCAGGACCTCCTTGAGGAGGGCGCTGCCACCGTTAGGGTAAGCTCTCTGCCGGAGACCGTCGCGATGGGGATTGTGGTGACTGCGCTGTCCGGAACCGAGTGTTCGGGCACCGGCTTCTCAGACTCCCAGGGTGCTGGCGATGAGAGGTTGGGACTGCGACACGATGAGGGCTGGTCGTTGCTTCTCTCCCTCCTAGGGCCCTCCCATGGCTTCACAGAAGAGAGTGGATGCAGTGACCAAAGGAACCGGGTTTCGGCGCTGCCGTAAGCAGGTCGCTTACACGCCAGGAACCTGCGAGCTGCTCAGAGGTCAGTGCTTTAGAGGAACAACGATAGGAGACTGGGATTCAGAAAGGTTCGGGATGAAATTTGGGGGGTAGTTAGCTCATCTTTCACTTTCAATGAAGTCTATCTCCTCCGTACCCTTCACTCTGTGTGTGTGTGTGTATACACACATATATTCATACATACATACATACATTAGACCTTTTAGGCGTTTTGTTTCCCAACTATCACCTTATTTTTAAGATTTTATTTTATGTGCACTGGTGTTCTGCCTGCATGCATGTCTGTGTGAGGGTTCCTGATTCCCTGGGAAATGAACCCAGGTCCTCTGTAAGAAGGGCCAACCAGTTCTTTTTGTCTGCTGTTTTGTGTGTGTGTGTGTGTGTGTGTGTGTGTGTGTGTGTGTGTGTGTGTGTGTGGCTTTTCAAGACAGGCTTTCTCTGTGTAGCTTTGGAGCCTGCCCTGGAACTCACTCTGTAGACTAGGCTGGCCTTGAACTCATAGAGATCCTCCTGCCTCTGCCTCCGGAGTGCTGAGATTAAAGGCGTGGGCCACCACTGATTGGCCAGCCAGTGCTCTCTTTTTTTTAAACTGTGGTAATTTTTTATTGATTTAATATAAATTAATACATATAGTTGTTTTTCTATTTTCAACTTCAAATGCATAAGTAGCAACAGACATTAGTTAGGCATGATAACATAAACCTATAATCCCCATTCTGGAGACATGGGATGAAGTCCTGTATAGTGGAACACACCTTTAATTCCACCAGTCAGAGCTCTTAACCTCTGACCCATCTCCAGCACCCATAGCTACCACCTTCTAAATGGTGAATGCCACCACACAAAGTGCTTCAGCCGCTGACATGTGAATGAACATATATACATTAATTTATTTAACAACTAAAAACCTACTGTGTGGTTTTGATAGTCCTGGAAGTAGTGTTAAGGGAATTGCAATAAACAAAAACCAATTTTTGCTCTCATATAGCTAATAGTACAGGAGGTTAACAAGAAAAAATTATAGTTGGGGTGTAGTTCAATAATACATTTTATACTAGACATACATGAAACCTGAGTTTTAATCCCAGCATACCACACACAGTTGGAGAGATGGCTCAGTGGTTAAGAACATGTACTGTTTTTCAATAAGACCTGAGTTCAGTCCCCAGCACCTATGTTAGCCACTCACCAAAAAAGTGTGTGCATCTCTTAGGTAGATATAATAATTTGCAAATTTGATGCTTGAGAAGAGCCCAAAAAAGCGTTTGGCCCGGATAATTAGTAAAACTCTGTCTTCAAAATAAACTGAAATAAAGAATGTAGAGATGGCTCAGAGATTAGGAGCTCTTACTGCTACTCTGGAGGACCCAAATTCAATCCCAACAACCATATCAGGTGGCTCCACAAAACCTATAACTCTAGCTTCAGGGGATTCAGTGGATGCTCACACACACATAGGCATACACATGCACACACACATAAAATCTTAAAGCCAGGTGGTGCTGCACACCTTTAAACCCAGCACTTAGGAAGCAGCAGATGCAAGTGGGCCTGAGTTCAAGGCCAGCCTGGTCTGCAGAGTGAGTTCCAGGAAAGACAAGGCTGCACAGAGAGACCCTGCCTTGAAAAACCTAAATAAATTAAATAATAAAAAAACTTTAAAAAAAGAAAACCTTGGTGGTGGTGGTGGTGGTGGTAGTGGTGCATGCCCTTAATCCCAGCACTTGGGAGGCAGAGGCAGGTGGATCTCTGTGAGTTCAAGACCAGCCTGACTAGTTCCAAGACAGGCTCCAAAGCTACACAGGGAAACCCTGTCTTGAAAAAAAAAAAAAAAAAAAAAAAAAAAACCAACAACAACAAAAAAAAAAAAGGCATGTATTAGGGGCTGGAGAGATGACACAGAGGTTAAGAGTACTGGCTGCTGTTCCAGAGGTCCTAAGTTCAATTCCCAGCAACCACATGGTAGCTCACAACCATCTGTAATGAGATATGACACCCTCTTCTGGCATGTAAGCATACATGCAGACTAACACTATATATATACATAACAACCTTTAAACAAGGAGCCCACCACTCTGGAGGCAGAGGTGGGTGGACCTCTGCCAGTTTGAGGTCTGCCCTAAAAACATAGCATGTTTCAGAACAGCCAAGCTACATAGTAAGACCCTTTCTATATGTAAATAAATAGATAATGAATAAATAAATAAATAAATAGAAGAGGGATAAAAATCTGAAGTGGCATGTGCTCTAGAGAAAATGAAACAAGCAAAAGAAGGTGACTGTTCAGTTCAGAGTTGTGCAGGCAATGCTATAGTGTGGAATTTTGGCAAGATGGGACATGCTAAGACACGGTAGGGCAGATGCAGGAGCCTGCTGCAGCTCAGGAGGCCTCACAGAATACTTTATTTTGCAGTGATGATGAAGGAGTCCAAACTGACTAGCTTTCAGCAACGACACATCATGGACACCGTGAAAAGTAAGGACAGTCACTCGAGAGACTTCCTGGGCAGAGGAACCAAGGATACATTTTTAATGCTCCTCTATATGAAAGGGAAAGGGAATTTATTTCAAAGGACAGAGATGAAGTCAGACATGATGATGTACATCTCTAATCCCAGCATTGAAGAGGCAGAGACAGGTGGATCTCTGTGAGTTCGAGGCCCACCTGGTCTACAGAATGAGTTCCAGGATAGCCAGAGCTGTTTCACAAAGAAACCCTGACTCAAACAAACACACACACACACACACACACACACACACACACACACACACACACACAGAAAATCTGGGCTGTGGTTTTGGTTCAGTTGGTACAGCCCTTACCTTGGATGCACAAGTGCTGGATTTCATCCCAGCACCAATAAACCAGGTGTGGTGACACACAGCTATAGTCCATGCACATGGAAGGTAGAGGCAGGAAGATCAAAAGTTTATAGTCATTTTAGTTCTATAGGGAGTTGGATAGAGACCCTGCCTTTAAAAAAAAAAAAAAACAAAAACAAAAAACACAGGGCTGGTGAGATGATTAAGCAAGGAAGGTATTTGCTACCAAATGTAACAATCTGACTTTAATCCCCAAAACTGATTCCTATTAATTGTCCCCTCATCTCCATATTCTCTCTCTCTCTCTCTCACTCACACACACACACACACACACACAAACCACACACAAAAATACCACAACAAAGACTCAGTGTATAAGAATGTTTATTGCAGCATTGTCATAAGTAATAAAAATCCAACCCTCCCAAAAAAAGGAGAACCTGAATGACTAGCTGAATAAATAGTGTGATCATTCTAACAACTAATTCATTGCTTAAAAAAAAAAAATAAGTTACATATAAATGCATCTTTATGAAGTTGGTCATGATAAATTGGTATGTTAAAGGGGTCTGTTATTGAACATGTGTTATGATCCAGTGTTTAAGAACCATATGTGTACATACCAAACAAAACATCTTGGGATGTGTGTTAGAAGTATCAAGAACGAGCAGCAACCACCTAATTTTTCCTACAGCCTACATAGGAGCAGGCTGAGAGGCTCAGAGACTCTCTACACTTGGACTTCTAACTGGAAGCTACCATTTTTCTTTGAAAAGAAAGACAAATAGGTGCTGTCACTTGGCCCTTCTATTCCTAGGAGGAGCCCCTCTGCCCCTGCAGTGTAACCCAACATCCAGCCAGAGGGGTTCTCCTTCCAAGAAGCCAGCTACAGCCACCTACCTGCCGCCTATCCTGGCTACCCACTCCCACCTCCGGCCTGCCAGCATGTGTCAAGCCAATGGGGCATACAGCCGTGAGCAATTCAAGCCTCAGGCCACCAGTATGTGACCAGCTGGGGTTAGGTGCTTTCTATCTTCTGGGGTCGTAGCAGCCTGGGACAGACAGCACCATTCCAGTAGTGGCCCTCTTTATCTTCCTATGGCTTTTTTCAAATTAATCCAGCTTTCCCAATCCCAGGAGGATACATGGCTGTCATCTGCTTATCTTCCCAGTCCCTCAAGTCTATTTCCTCTGCATTTGAGCCCACATCTGAGAGCCCCTCCTCTTGGCCTCTAATAGTATTTTTGGCCCAGACCCCCAGCATCCCTCAGAGGCCTGTGTTTCTGGGTTCTCTCTTAGCTCTGCATTGAGATGTTCAACTGCTAACCTGACACATTCTGCTCAGGAACAGGCAGGGGAGGGGCTGGGTCTGCAGAAGCCCACTCCTCCCAACCCAGACACCCTGTAGTGTGCACAGACAAGGGAAACACCTTAACAAGACCATTTCTGGGCCCTACAGGAGATCTAGAGAAGGAGAAACGAAGACTTCAAAATATCTTTGCCACTGGGAAGGAAACAGAGGAACGGAAAAAGGGTCCTCATGTGCGGCAAGAGGACCCAGCTCCTGAGCTGGACCGGTTTGAAGAACGTGAGCCTGTGTGTGTGTGTGTGTGTGTGTGTGTGTGTGTGTGTGTGTGTGTGTGTGTGTGTGTGCAAGCATGTGTAGAGAGTAGAACTGATGAGACTGGAAAGAGAGAAACATGACTTGATACAGACCTTCCCCCACTCTCCCTTAGAGACCATGTGCTGCCTAGGCCCCTGTGCGCTCCCACTGCCCCGTGCACTGATAGCCCTTCCCCTCTGTGCAGTGGTAAAGGAAATCCAGGACAGGAAAGAATTCTTGGCTGCCATGGAGGCTCTAGGACAGGGCAAGCAATACCGAGGAATGATCCTGGCTGAAATCTCCCAGGTAGGAGAGGCCATGCAAGTGGGGAAGAGGAGCTCCAGCCAGCTCCATGGCTAGCCTCTCAGGTGGCAAGCTCCCACCATGGTGGACCGCCCTGACAACAGCTCTTCCTAATGGCCCTTTGCAGAAACTACGGGAAATGGAGGACATTGACCGAAGTAGGCGCGAGAAGCTTAGGAAGGCTCTTGCCACCACTTAATCCAAGGGTGGGTCAGCCACCAGAGCAGCACAACGGACAATCAGTGACATCCTCAGGTCTGCCCACCCACAGGGGCTGTGCCAGACCATGATGTGGCACTGTCTTGGAGCACAAGACACTGCCCAGGGATATGGAGGCCTCAGTGGTGCCCCTGAGCTACTGTCACAGCCAAAGTGTTGAACCCTTCCCTAGGGGAAAGAGCCCCAGACATATCACGTTGACACCCAGGCTCACCACCTTGGACATTTGCCTAAGGACACCCTCTCTCTGGCTCTCCTTCTGCCTCAGCTGAACACAATCCTGCCCATCCTATATCTTAGGATCCACTTCTTTGCCTTCTTGTAGCCTTTGGCAAATGTTTGACCACACGATTAATTAGCCAATAAAACACATTTAACTTGGTCATGACATGTTCTGCCTTGTTTCCACAGGAATAAAGCCTATAACTGCTGTCTGCATATTTCCGGAGGAACAGGGAAACAAGGTTCCTGATCAGCCTGTAGTCAATGCTGACCTTCAAGACTGTGGTGTGAGAACTCAGGTTCACCAAGACATTCCATCCCGGCAGTTACTGCAGAGGAGCCCACTTGGAAGAAACATAACGGAGGGATCCATACTGAAAGGGCCCTGGCAGGTGTCACAGCTTTGGGTCCAACTCCTTTCAAGTGCCTCTGAGGCCCCAACCTGAAGGTCAAGGAACCCCTACAAGGAAGGCAGCCTGCTCCCCACCGGGTATGTCACCTGCAATTATTCGCTGCACATCAGTGTCCTTCCTTCAAGCTACTGACACTGATCAGCCTGACCTGCACTAGTATTCTATTATTTCCCTGTCTCTATAAATGAAAGTATTTCCTGTACCTGCCATTAGTCCCATAATTCCAATAGAACATATCATCTGTCTTCTTGCCCAAGAATAAACACAGATACCATGCAACAGCCAGCAGATAAGAGTCAGGTCAATAAGGATACACCCTCCACCTCACAGGCCTCACACACTGGAAAACCCAGGACAAATGTAGCCCAGTGTGGCAAACTCAAATTGATGTCAGCATTTACAAATTATGCCTATACAAAAAATGGATTCTGGGGTTCTTTTGAAAAGTGGGCAAGATCTGGCAAGCCTGGGCCCATGTTCACCGAATACAGGTGACTTCCATGAGGAAGGCTGTTCCCTTGAGTCAGTGGAAATGTCCTTGACACTGAGACAGCTTCCTGGTGGAGCCCACCCTTGGTTCTAGCAGCTGGGTCACAGGACCCCTCTGAAAGACCTCTGAGGTGATGGCCCTGGCTCCAGATCAACAAGTGCATTTTGGAAAACTGCCAAGGGCTATACGGGAGTTAGCAAGCACATCTCCCCAAACAGGAAGGGAACCCTGCCCATGGTAGGTGGTGATGGTCAAGTTCCCAAGTGTGTGGGCAACACAGAACCTCCTGAGTGACCAGATGCCTGAACATGAGGTGGAGCACAGACAGGCAAGAGGGCACACATGTGGCTGTACCCAAGGTTACAGGGCACTGGCAACTGAGGTAGAGTGCGTTCCTTCCTAGGATGCACAGAGGGAGGGGCGCTGAAGACCCCAAGAGCAAGAACAGTGCTTGGACCATAAGCTGCCTGGCATATTCTCTAGGGAAAAGAGGTACCCCATCACCCTTCTCCCAGAACCACCCAGTGGTGAGTGGCCATCAGTCCTTGAAGGGAACAGACAACAGAAAAGACAGGCTGCACCAACCACAAAAAGGGATGGGTCCATTCCCTGGGCATGGGGTGGGAAGGGAGCCTGCATCAGAGGTCAGACTACAGTGCTTTGGAGAACAAATGTTAGCACCTACCCAAGCATGCGTCCTTAGGCTGGTCTGAGGCACTGCCTCAGCACAGCCACCAGGTCCTCGTGTGGTGGGTGAGACTTCCCATGGAGCATGGGAGATGAGGGAGGCAGAGTAGGCAGTGCATTCCCAAATGACACAACACAGCACTCACTGAGGGGCCAGAATTTGAGACTTCATAGCTCCTGAGCGAGGGGGCATGACTTTCAAGGGTACCTGTGTTAGACAGGAAGGTCAGGGTTGAGAAGGAAGAAGTGGAGCAGCCAGTCTTGCTGCTGACCTTGCTGCAAGGTGCACAAGTCCTAGGCCAGGGCCTGCCTTGGGCAGGGCTGACAGCGAAGACTCCATCTGGCCTGGTTCAGAGGATCAAGGAGAACCTCTGCCTCTGCCAAGACCCCTGGGCCTATCACAGCACCTGGAGTCAGAAGCCAAGTGGACTGGGCTAAGTCACAGCTGTCTGGGACACAGGGAAGAGAGTAGAAACCTTTAGCCCATACCAGCTGGAGACCCCCAAAGAGGGTGAAGCTCACCCAGGGACTCCCTCCCAAGGTCATCGTCCCCCTTAGCAAGTCTGAAAGCAGAGTGCTGCTCTGGCCTTGAGGCTCCAGAAGAGGAGAGGACGTCTGCTTCCCTTGCCATCAGCTCTTGTCCCCAGGGGCCTTGCTTTTGGTGTCACGCTTGTTGCCTAGCAGCTTCAGCATCTTCATGGTCTTGAACTTGCCTTTCTTCTTACCCTCAGACTCAGCCTCTCTTTGGAACTCTGCAGTAAAGAACAAAGGTGCTCAGCCAGGGGAGGGGAGCACTGGGGGTGGAGCATGGCCAGTGTCACCGAGCAGGTGTGTGACCATCAAGGCTCTAGCCCATCCACACACCAAGTCATGCCATTATATCCAGTCTCCCTTTTTTCACCGAGATCCACATCTGTGAGAACAATCTGGAACCTCTGAGGCAGGGGTGCTCAACCTGGGGCATATCAGATACTTAAGATTCATAACAGTAGCAAAACTACTTATGAAAAAGCAACAAAATAATTTTATAGTTGGTGGTCACCACAACATGAAAAACTGTAGTAAGAGCTTGCAGCATTAGGTAGGTTGAGAACCACTGCGAGGTGTAATAGCTCAGATCACCTGTACTGAGGTACATAGCTCTGCAAGCTACAACAGAAATACTGAGGGCTAGGACTAGGGGGCATCTCAAAAAAATCTGCCCAAATCTCAAACTCTCACAAGGAAAACACGCCTTTGAAAAGAAGCAGCGCCAGCCATGCACTGTAGGTGCCTAACCCCAGGCTGGTGCTCTACACAATCAGCTCCACAACCCTTGGCCCACACCAGGAGAGGCAGCATCACAATGGGAGTGAGGTGAGGGCTGAAGGAACACACTTAGCCACCCAGTTCATTTCTGAGCAGGGACCAAAAGCCAATCTGGCTCCAGCCTCAGCCAAGATGTACCCACAAGGCCACACAGTGAGCCACAGATAGAACCAAGGTCAATCTCCTGACAGCTACCTTAGCCACTCTGGACACTCTGACCCTGAACAAGCTCGAGGTTCCCATGCCCCTAAGCCAACCTGCAGAGCTCTGGGAAAAACCACCCCTGGTGGACCACAGTCCTTCTGTAGACACAAGTGAATCCCCTGGCTGCCCTCCCGGCCTGAGCCACACCACATGGCTATGACTGCCTCCCTCATTTCACTTGGCTTTCCAGCAAAACAGCCTGTGAGTGACTTTACATCACAGCCATCATCCCTACCCAGCCTGCTCAACCTCCATTTCCAGGCTGCAAACACAGGCCCTTCCACAGGATGAGCCTCACCTTTCTTCCTGATCATAGCTTCCAACATCTTGTCTTCCTCCTCTTCCCTGGGGTGGAAAAGACAAGCTGAGTGCTCACAGCACCAGGCCATCTGAGTCCCTTCCAGCCTCCAGGCCCCACAGGACTGAGCAAGTGTGAGGGAAAACTGGCAGTGAGGATAGGGCTAACTTTCTCCCTGACTCCGCCAGGAAGTGGCTCCACCCATGGGGTCCCAGGCATGGCACCTCTGCCGGTCTTCATCCAGGCAGTTCACAATGGCATTGCGCTGCTCGATGAGAGTCATGAATTCCTGCATCAGCACCTTCTCTCTGGCCCTATCCTCCTCTGTCCAGTCCTTTTCTGCCAAAGGAGAAAGTCAGAGTGAGTGGTGAGGACCCCTGTCTTCACCATCTGAGATCCTGGGAAGATTGCAAGTCATCCATACTGTGGGTTGAGAGGAGGGCTCAGAGTGCCACTTACAAGCTCTTATAAGAGATGAAGATAGGCTGGGTGGTGGTAAGTTCAAGGCCAGCCTGGTCTACAGAGCTAGAGCTAGTTCCAGGACAGCCTCCAAAGCAATACAGAGAAACCCTGTCTTGAAAAAAAAAAAAAAAAAAAAAAAAAAAGAAAGGAAGGAAGGAAGGAAGGAAGAAAGAAAAAGAAAGAAAAGAAAGAAAGAAAGGACACTTGGCTATCCACCAAACACCCTTCAAGATACACCCTGTAAGCTGGGCATTGGTGGCCCACACCTTTAATCCCAGCAAGTGGGAGGCAGAGGCAGGTGTGAATTCGGGACCAGCTTGGTCTGCAGAGCTAGTTCCAGGACAGGCTCCAAAGCTACACAGAGAAACCCTATCTGTAAAAAACAAAAACAAAACAAACAAACAAACAAAAAAAAAGAGATACCCTGTATGTAGAGCCACAAGGGCTTCCTACCCACCAAACACTGTTCAAAGACACCATACAGGGCCAATGTGCCCACCAAACACACCATTCAAGGACACTGTGCAAGGCTGGTAATTCTCAAGGGCTTCCTACATACCAAGCACACTATTCAAGACACTAGGCAAGGGCCAGCACTCCTGCAAGGTTTCTGGCAACAGACTTTGTTGGTGGCTTTTTTATTTATTTATTTATTTATTTATTTATTTATTTATTTATTTATTTATTTTGGTTTTTTAAGACAGGGTTTCTTTGTGTAAAAGTTCTGGCTGGCTGTCCTGGAACTCACTTTGTAGACCAGGCTGGCCTCGCACTCAAGACCCACCTGCCTCTGCTTTCCAAGTGCTGGGATTAAAGGTGTGCACCACCACTGCCTGGCTTATTTTTACGTTTTTATTTAAGATGGCTCACCTGGTTTGTTGAGAAGGCATCGAAGTTCAAACTCCACATCAGCCTGGCGCTGCTCCAGGTTCTGCTGCTTGACACTAAAGGGTGGGATGAAGAGGAAGTAAATGCTTCTGCACGATGCCCACCCCACCCCTCTGGTGTCAGGGCAGAGGGTGAAAGTTCCCAGGTCTCCCTCCACAGACCCCAGCAGGGAGCAGGCAGGGAAGCCAGGACTCACACATAGATGAGCTCTGACTCTCGCCGCACTAGTAGGTGTTTCTCGTGGATGAGTTTGAACCAGTCCACCAGCATGCTGTCCTCACTTCCCTCTGGAAGCCAGATCCCCACTGAGGCCAGAGCTGGCAACCCCCTCCCCAGCTCAGCACCCCCAGGTTGAGGGACTCCCACCAACCCACAGCCCTCAGCCAGCTCCTCTCTGCAACTCCCGCACCATTTGC